ATATGCATTATACAGAGGCAAGAGGAAAAGAAAAAATACCATCGAAAGACAGTAAGTTCCCCTCAGACATACATTCATATAAACTCCTACCCCTAACTGAATCGCGATTTGTTTAGCATCTCAACCGATTTGAATCGTCACATATTTAAATCGATTTTCAACCTGCTCGCGGTTAATCGTTACATCCCTAATGGCTACGTCAACGGTGAACTCGATCGACTAAGCCAATTAGCTAATCACAAACTTGAATAATTCCTTGAAGTACTTTGTGGTGTCATGTAAATACCATAGTAAATGAATGTGATAGTCATTTAGTACTACAGTATACATTTAGAATTAATGCCGGGCTCACACTACAGGAGTTTTAGGCCGATTTATCCCCAATTTCCCCCTCCCGAGAATCTGAGAAAAAATTTGTCGAGAACCTTGGTCTGTTCTGATGTTCGGCGTCGATTATCTGGTAATGCGAGGCGTTTACAGATTGAATCTTGCGCCTTCCGATCTGCTCGCACATAAATCGGGGCCTCCCCGATCATATGTGACCCTGGACCACAAAACCAGTCTTAAGTCGCTGGGGTATATTTGTAGCAATAGCCAAAAATACACTGTATGGGTCAAAATTATTGATTTTTCTTTTATGCCAAAAATCATTAGGACATTAAGTAAAGATCATGTTCCATGAAGATATTTTGTAAATTTCCTACTGTAAATATATCAAAACTTAATTTTTGATTGGTAATATGCATTGCTAAGAACTTCATTTGGACAACTTTAAAGGCGATTTTCTCAATATTTAGATTTTTTTGCACCCTCAGATTCCAGATTTTCAAATAGTTGTATCTCGGCCAAATATTGTCCTATCCTTTCCAGTTTTCAGATTATGTATAAATCTCAATTTCGAAAAATTGACCCTTATGACTGGTTTTGTGGTCCAGGGTCACATATCAAACATGTTTGATATTTAGGATCTTAAATCAGGATGATCATGGCTAGAACTTTCACAACAGCCAATAAGTGACCGCAAAACAAGCTGCTGTATGGGCCCATTGGATAGTGGAGATGGAGGAAACTGCTTGTGGAAGTTTTGCAATAACACAACTGTCTGTCTAATATGTCGAAAACATACCGTGCCGGCAGAATGTAGAAAGCATGCTAGCATGCTAGCTAACATATGTAAACATTAGTTGCTGAAACATCAATTGACGATCTGCTGCGTCAGATCATGTCAGGCGCTTCCTCTGGCATGATACTCTTAATAATATCTTGTAGTGTGTGATGCGCCACGATTTTCAAATCTTGTAGTGTGTGCATGTTTAGGATTTGAGGGAAGAAACTCTGCAAAGATTCTCCTTATGTGTGTGCTGCAACCAGATTTCATAATCGGTTAGGATTTTAAAACTCCCGTAGTCTGAGCCCGGCTTAACAGACGCTTCTGTGACTTGCATTGTATTCAGATTTACATTTAATCAGTTCATGCATTCTCTGGGAATCAAAACCATGACCTTTGCATTGCTAGTGCTGTGCTGTACTGTTTGAGCTTCTGCAATACTTGTATACATTAGAATATGACGGTACATGATTGTTTTTGGCCTTATTGACACTTTTATTGATAAAGATAGTATCGAGAATGGATTTATTACATTTGGAAACCTTTAGGACACAGCTCCAACATGCCGTGCATGCTCAGATTAAAAAAAAAAAAAAACAGTACAGTAAGCTGTTACTGGGGTGGTATCCTTACAAAAGGTCCTAATATGTATCATTTAGGTACTACTATATACACTTTAGGGACTAATATCTTTAAGGTACTACACTCTCAGAAAAAAGGGTACAAAAGCTGTCAATGGGACACGGTATCTTTTCAGAAAGTACACTTTTGTACCTTATTTTCCCTTAAAGGGTACATATTGGTACCTTAAAGTTGCATATTAGTACCTTTTCAAAGTGTACTGCCCTAATGACAGTTTTTGTACCTTATTTCTGAATGTACTATACTTACTTTTGGTGCAAATTTGAACATTTAAGGTACTGCTATGCACACTTAAGGCACTAATATGCACACAAAGGTCTGTGAAATGTGATTTGAACATCTCTCTAACTGAATCTCTCTCTCTCCTCTCATCTGGCAGGCACTCCTCACTCTAACAGCAGCAGTTCCCTGCAGTCCGGGGGTTCGGCGGCCGGCGTGGCTTTGGGGACTAGTAAAGAGGGAATGCACCAGCGCTCGTTCTCCGTATCCAGCGCAGAACAGTGGAGCGAGGCCGTTATCAGCACCACGGCAGGTCAGAGGAAAAGCCAAGAAAATTCTGACACTGACACTTTCTTTTTCTTTCTCAAATCAATCTTAATATAATATAATATGTTTAAAATTCAGCCAGTTTTTTTTTCTTTAATGTTGCTTTTCCATTGCTTTGATATTTACAGCAGATTTTAGGTCGTACTTCAGGGTCCATGATTGTGGGGTTATGTACTAGATTAGTACAATAACATGCAAGGAATGCATCAATACCAGCAATTTGTGCATTAATGTTTTTTAGTATGCGCAATATAATATACCATGGTAATCTACTTTAACCAGTATTTAACCAGATTAATTAGTCTTCACAAAAGTATTAAAATGACAAAAAGACATTTTCTGAAAATCTAATTTTTTTTTAAAAGGATCATATATTTATGATGATTCACAGAAGTAGCAAAAGTAATTGTGTAGACAATTATGGTATTTTGCCAAAAACTATGATTATCTCGGTGAAATTTGTTAAGAGAACTATGCTGTTTGTTGCATGTCAGTGGTTGCGCTGTCAAAGTCAGCTTGAAATAAAAAATTCACACTATCTATTTTCTAAATGTACTGTATATTGTAGATCTTATGAACCCTTTTCACATTTTCGGGGTTCTCAGAAGCCTAAGCCATTATACTGTAGTTTTTTTAGTGGTGAAACTTCAACCAACATGACTTTTGCGTTTCCCTTTGCCCTAATAGCAAATTAAAATCCATAATATTGTTTTATGACTTTCTGAAAGAATAAAAATGTATCAAGAGATTGATTACATTGGTCAGAAGAGAGAAAAATCTCAATTTGCCGTCAATTCCTCAGCTGTTGTATTAGAAATACACAGCAGCTTTTAATTAGTTTTCTGTAATTTGATGCCAAGATAATAAAACACCAAGCATAGTGTTATAAATGTACAGTACCGGGCAAAAGTTTGGAAGCAGTGCTTTTCAACATTTATAATAATAATAAATGTTTCTTGAGCAGCAAATGAGCATATTAGAATGATTTCTGAAGGATCGTGTGACACTGAAGACTGGAGTAATGATGCTGAAAATTCAGCGTTGATCACAGGAATAAATTACATTTTCAAATATATTCAAATAGAAAACATTTATTTTGAATTGAAATAATGTTTCACAATTTTTACTGTATTTTTGATCAAATGCAGCTTTGGTGAGAAGATAAGATATTCAAAAACTTTTAAAAATCTTACAGATCCCAAACGTTTGACTGGTAGTGTTCATTACATTTGTAAAAAAAAAAAAAATTAAATATAAAAGAGATTAACAATGGTAATAGCTTTGGAAATGCATCATCACAGTCTATAAAAAAGTCATCTACCTCCATTTTTGAGTGCAACGGCCACATCTCAAAATCCAATCAACAACCGATGCATAGATCCAAGACATTGTTTTTTTTCCCAATAATTCGACTCAGATGAACTTATATAGAATAAACATATACACAATAAGGAATAAAAGGTCTGTCACTACTTCCATTTCATCGCAACTTTAAACAAGTCACAGATAATTCAGCAACTGCTCTTTGTTTGCGACAAACTGAAGGTTTTTAATCTGTTAAAGATAGTAGTCTATTATGATTTTACCATGGTACTAACAGTAACTGTAGAAACTATGGCACTTTTTTTTATTGCTTGTATCAGTGGTTGTGCTGTTAACAAGCCAATCGCTAATCAGGATAATTCGGTAATTCGGCTTTTTAATGGCAACTCGATACTCGCCCTTCTCTGCTCGTCTCTGCTTGTCGAACAATCAATTTCAGCCCCGCTCCGCCATCGGCCCCCCGTCTACACCCATCAGCTCCACATCCTAAAGCAGAATTACTCAAAGCGGCCGTAGCCGCGGAATGAGCTGCATATAAGTGTGTGTGTGTGTGTGTGTGTGACAAAGCACTTCATTAGGCCCTGGTGTAAAATAGTTATTGTCACACACAAGCACACATACTCAGACTTGTAGCTGTATCAGGATTTGGTGGATGCATTTTCTCTATGACCTGTTACCCATCAGCCTCTCGGTTCTTGCGTTTACTGCGAGTATTATAGCTTTACAGGTCATAATGGAGATAATAGAGTTTTATATAAGAGATCTTGGGAAAGTGCACACCTTGAGAAAACCTCATTTGTTGTGTGGAAGATTGCAGGTTTTCTTTTCTGCTTTGTCGTCGTTCTTGTGTTCATGTGGTGAGCTTTGGAGTAGGGATGGACGTGCATGCTGAACTAGTTGTCCAACATCCTCTCTCTCTCTCTCTCTCTCTCTCTCTCTCTCTCTCTGTCCTGTCAGCGCACTTGAGTGAAGTCAAATAATATATTTCCCCCCTGTCTTCACTACTTCTTTTTTTCCCCTCCCGCGTTTGAAAATGAATGCTTTACGGGGACAACATTCATCACTGGTTATTTCCCTCTCTTTGTCGGCTGGCAGTAAAAAAGCACTTAAATGCACATCAACAGAATAACAGTCATTTCCATGCATGTTTGCGCACTCGTCGTTCTCATTAGCAGCTGCTCTGTTTCTCCCCCCCGCCCTCGCGCTATCGCCGTCTCCGTTTTTGTCTCTCGCCCTCTCTCTCTCTTTCTCTCCTCCCCCCCTCCTTCTGTTAGGGTCCCAGGGGCCCCACTAGTTTAAAGAGCGCTCTTTACGAGCAAAATGGAGGCTCCGCCGTGTGGCCCCGTGGTGTCGCAGACAGAACACGACGCCGCGCGATACTCGCCCTTCTCTGCTCGTCTCTGCTTGTCGAACAATCAATTTCAGCCCCGCTCCGCCATCGGCCCCCCGTCTACACCCATCAGCTCCACATCCTAAAGCAGAATTACTCAAAGCGGCCGTAGCCGCGGAATGAGCTGCATATAAGTGTGTGTGTGTGTGTGTGTGTGACAAAGCACTTCATTAGGCCCTGGTGTAAAATAGTTATTGTCACACACAAGCACACATACTCAGACTTGTAGCTGTATCAGGATTTGGTGGATGCATTTTCTCTATGACCTGTTACCCATCAGCCTCTCGGTTCTTGCGTTTACTGCGAGTATTATAGCTTTACAGGTCATAATGGAGATAATAGAGTTTTATATAAGAGATCTTGGGAAAGTGCACACCTTGAGAAAACCTCATTTGTTGTGTGGAAGATTGCAGGTTTTCTTTTCTGCTTTGTCGTCGTTCTTGTGTTCATGTGGTGAGCTTTGGAGTAGGGATGGACGTGCATGCTGAACTAGTTGTCCAACAACTGACTAGTTGACTAGTGAGTAGGATGCACCAATATTTAACTACTTATTTTAATGTCAGTTCCTGATCAGCCAATAATTATGTTCATGTTATGGCCAATAAACAATAAATGTCTGATTCTATGCTATTTTGTCTACGTAAATTAAGAACAAAACACAAAAAATCTATTTAAATGCTACAAGTGAATCAGAATCAGAAAATTTTAAATTTACAGTATTAAAAAAATCACTTGTAATTATGATAAATCACATTTAACTAAATACATTATTTGTGTTTTTAAAGATTAATTTTAAGTGTGCGTTAGTTGACGGCAAGGTAATCTAAATGTAAAAATAGAGAAAATAAGCATGCACAATTAAATTTCCAGTATCAGCCAATATATTATCACATATATCTTTTTGTTACCTTTTTTTATTGCTAGTGCATTATAAAGGATGCATTTAGTGATGTAAACTACCTTTCAAAAGTTTGGGGTTGTTTTTGAAAGTCTATGTTCACAAATGTTGCATTTATTTGATTACAAATTCAGTAAAAACAGTAATTTGTCAAATATTATTACAGTTTAAAATAACCCTTTTCTATTTTAATATAGTTTATGATTTAATTTATTCATGTGATGCATTGTAGTATGCTGATTTGCTGCTCAAGAAGCATTTATGATTATTATCAAAGTTGAAAACATTTTTTTTTTTTGTGGAAACATGATACATTTTTCATTTTCAGGATTCTTTGACGAATAGAAAGTTCAGTGTAATAAAAGTACAGCATTTATTCATATTATATCTTTTGTAACATTATAAATTTCACTTTTGATCAATTTAATGCAACCTTGCTGAACACAAGTATTAATTTCTTTCAAAACAAAATCTTACTGACCCCAAACTTTTGAACTGTATAGTACAAAAGAAGATACAAAATAAGTTTTTATCCATACAATACAAAACATTTCGGTGTATGGAAGAAAATTATCTCTTGTGTCCCATAGAAAAAGAAAGTCATGCAGGTTTGGAACAACATGTATCTGCATATCATCAAGAATGTTTTATGCAAATTCACCTTTAATGCCTATTTAGGTGTTAAATAGATCTTAAGCAAGCCCCAGTCATGCCATTATCCTTGTCAAGGGTTGAAGGTCAACCAGCAGATCAGGACTGTTGTGATGAGCAGCGGTAGATTGATAATGTTCTCAAACAGTAACTATTTCCATATGATGTGAGTGTTGTTCTCTGCACTGGATAAGCTACAGCTTCTGAATACTGATCCTTCTGATTAAATCTGCACTCTTAGTTATATCTGTGCTACACATGCCAGTGTGTGTATGCATGTGCGTGTGTGTGTTGGAATTGTATTCTCAGCATGTATCAGACGTCTCTTAATTATCTAGTGTACTTCGCTAGTGTTTTGTTTTGCATGGTTTTATAAAGGAATTAGGTTTTTACATTTTCTGAAAATACAGTTGCTAGGGTGTTCAAGCTGGTTGCTAGGGCGTTGCTAAGGTGTTCTGGGTGGTTGCTAGGTAGTTGTCTTACTCCGCTGATCATTGTAGGCATAGAATCCTCATTTCTGTATTTGTTTAAATTAGTTTCTAGCATGTTGCTCTGCAGTTGCTAGGGTGATCTGGATACTTGTGTTTAGACTGTTTGGGTGGATGCTAGAGTGTTGCTAAGGTGTTCTGGATGGTTGCTAGGTGGTTGTCTTACTCTGTTGATCATTGTAAGCAACAACCATATTAGCATGTTGCTATGCAGTTGCTAGGTAGCTTTCTTATTC